ATATAGGGATTTTCAGGGAAAATCCTCCCTCGTAATACAGTAATACAAGTAGATTTGCTATAAAATTTAAATTGTTTCATCTTTTCCCAAAGATTGCAGACATGCAGTTTCACCTCCAGTACACATTTGAGAAATCATAATTATATTTCAAAGTTCTTAAGGAATGAGGAGGACAATGAAAAGAGAAGAAATTTCTTACAATATTAATAGGAGATAAATATATGTGGTGAAATAGTGAAGGCGTAAATAAGAGCTCGTAAGCCAAAAGATTATTACGTATATAGAGTTAGAAAAATTAATAATTAATACTCCCTTCGGTCCAAAATAAGTGATTTTTTTGAATGTTTTCACACATATTAAGAAATCCATCTTTTAGCATTAATTAGCAATGAAATTGACCATATTAACCTTTACTATCTCACATAAACACTCCTAACACATACTGCAACACTATTTACTCCAAGGATAATGTAGGAAAAAATAATTAATTAATTCTTGAAATCTGGAAAAATCATTTATTTTGAACCACAAAAAAAAATTAAAAAATCACTTATTTTGAACTAGAGGGAGCAAGATTTAAATAAAGCAATGTGTATAATTTCCAGAAGACGGCCCCAACTTCGTGTTTTCTGGAAAAAGTAAATAAAAAGAATCTTCCAAAAACTAGAGTTAATTTTTGGCTGGATTAGTCCAAGTTGAGGTAAAATAAACGGTGGGGGCAGTTAAGATTCTTATCTACACTGAGTACTGTGTGGCCGACCAGCCATTTAAATATGCTCATTCCTTGCCACTTTCCTCCTACTTTCACATGCAAATCACTTATGCTTGTATTCTACTTTTCAAATACTTTCACATTATTCTCTGAACACAAAAATACTCAAACATGAAGGAAAATCATTACCAATTTGAAGATCAACAAAACTATTGTGGCAGCTCTTCAGCCATGAGCTCCTCCTTTGGGACAACTCCAGAAAGGCATTCTTCTTTTTCTCAAGATTCTGAAACTGTCAGCTCTCTTCACAGTCCTTCTTCTTCTCATAATTACTCTCCTAGAGTTACTCCAAGTATGTCCAGAATAATATTGATGAAAAACAGGAAATTTAAAGGAAGATGAAACAAAACTCATTTTTTCCTAACTCTTTTATACATTGATAATTGCAGGTCAAGATGATTCTTCTATAATTATGCAGAAGAGGAAGTTGGGAAAGAAGGCAAAAAGTTATGCTTATAGAATTCGTGAGCATGGTATGTGTCTATTTACGTCTAATTTATTCTTTTCCTTTTTCCTTCTTTAAGAAAACAATAAAAATATTTTTCTATTTTGATGTGTTGCAGTGAAATTGGGGCCAAAGTTTTCAGAAACGGTGAAGGGGAAGCTGAAAATAGTGAAAGAAGGAGGGAGAAGAAATATATTCAGAAATATGTTTAATGTAAACGAAGGAGAGAAGCTGCTAAAGGCATCACAGTGTTATTTGTACACAACAGCGGGTCCAATTGCTGGGATTCTATTCATATCTACAGAGAAAATTGCCTTTTGCAGTGAAAGACCCATTGCTGTTCCTTTCCCCTCTGGTGGAATTCTTAGAACGCCTTACAAGGTTAGTTACATTACACTGGTTGTGTTAAATTAATGGAAGGATAAAGCCAATAGTTTGAGGGTTTTTTCAGTTCTCTCTCTTTTTTTCCTGTACATTTTTATTCAAAATAAAATGAAATGGGTTGAGTACTTTGAGTTGAAGAGGAGCATTAGGGCAACAATAAAGTTGTGTTCGTGTGACCTACAGATCGCAGGTGCAGTAGGGTATTAGGGTAGACTGTTATCTATATCACACTCCTTGAGATGTAATTGCATAAATATAAGATGCATTGTGCACCGGAATATCCTAGGTTGAGTACTTGAGTTAAGCAGCTAGACATTGTCCAACATTTGTTAGGTTACACGAGTAGGTAAAAATTGCGTAAATTAAGCTGGGACATAAATAAACTTGTGTGACACTTTTCAATTGACTTTAATTTTGTGTTCTTTTTCCGAAAACATTATCTTGTATTTTTGCAAAAGACTTTTTTCATGGTTTCGAACGAGTACCTCTAGTTACATGGTGTCAACTTTGATGAGCGCCAAGGCTTCCCTTTGAAGTGCGGAATGCTTAGAAAGGGCAGTCTGGTGCTCTAAGCTTCCGCTATGTGTGGGGTCCGAGGAAAGGCCGGACCACAAGGTTCTATTGTACGCAACTTTACCCTGCATTTCTCCAAGAGGCTATTTCCACGACTTGAACCTGTAACCTCCTACGGAATGCCTAGAGTTAGGCGGAGAAAAAGAAAAGCAAAGGGGAATATTAGTTGAATGATTTTAGGAGGAAAATGCAGGCTGTATTTTTTTTCCTTTTAATAAATTGGGTACATTTCACCTACGCTAAATTTTATACTCCATCTCAATTGAATAATTAACTCACAGATTCGTCCCCACACGGCTTTCAATTATTCCCTCAGACCACAGCGTACTTGTTTATCTATATAGTCACTATTTAACATGCACTATTGTTATTCCTCTAGCTGTCGCACCATAAAATATATATATATATAGGGGTTAGGGGTTCTGAGTTCTCAAATATTTTAGAGCATTTTGATTTTGCAACATTACTAATTAAGGCCTCATTTGCAATAGTTTCAATTGTATAAAGCACAATAGATAGTTAATTAGATAGTTAATTAGTCAATTTTGTGTTGTGTGAAATATTTCACAAATACTGTGGAAATTATGATTTTTGCAGGTGGTTATTCCAGTGAAGAAAATTAAAAGAGCTTATGCAAGTGTGAACGAGAACAAACCATCTCAAAAGTACATCGAGATAGTGACTGAAGATAATTTTGAATTTTGGTTCATGGGTTTTGTACGATACGAAAAAGCTTTCTTGAACTTACAAAAGGCCATTTCCATGTCGAACTAGCTAGCTATTAGACATTAGAATTTTTAGGATTTTAAAGAGGATTCGTAAATCTGTAGTTTTTTTTTTTCCTTATTAGATGTTGAACTGATAGCATCTAATCTATGCTTGTTCATGAGAATTCAGAATTTAAGATTTATGGATTTTGAATTTTGTAGATTTTGAAGTTCAGTAGATTTCTTAGCATTTATATATAATACGGAAAAGAGTCATATTTGCCCCTGTACTCTTCAAAAAGGGTTATATTTGTCCTTCGTTATACTTCATTGATATATTTATCCTTATTGTTATACTTTAGGATCATATTTGTCCATGTACTCTTCAAAAGGTTTATGTTTGCCCTTTGTTATACTTTTTTGACATATTTATCCTTACAGTTATACTTTAGGATCATATTTGCCCTTCATCCATTAAATCCTCACGCCCCACCTTTGTTTTCCTACATGGTGCCTATGTGGATTTCTTTTTCCTCCAATTTAAATATGGTCACCTATTTAAGATAATTTAACCCACCACCCAATTAAACCAGACCCACTAACTAAAATAAACAGAAATCCTAATACCCGACCCCCCACTCGTCCATCTCTCTTATCCGGATCAACTCCATGTTTTCCGGATAGCAGCGGCAACCTATTAAATCAAGTCCGAGCGAGAAAATTTTGGACAGTGAGTGAAGTGTTACCTCTAATTCATCTGACGGCAACAACTCGGTTCAGTCTCGCTTATAGGCACTATTCAAATCTTCACTCATCTTGACATTTTCTTAAATAAACTTGAAAGTTTTCTTCGAGTTTTAGGCTTCTGTCAGTGCTCTATTTTAAGCACTGACCTTTGTCATTAACTCCGTTATTGTGCAACTTCTCGTAATTTACTTTGGTTACTGCAATAATTGTGAGCTGTATCAGATTAGTGATTTTGGGTTCAAAGTTCTTGTTTGCCAATATATTACCGCTGCTATCCGAAAAACATGGAGCTGAAAAAGAACATTATCTTAAATAGGTGATCATATTTAAATTGGGTGGGCGAGTGACCATATTTAAATTGGAAGAAAAAGAAATCCACATAGGCGCCATGTAGGAAAACAAAGGTGGGACATGGGGATTTAATGGATGAGGGGCAAATATGATCCTACAGTATAACTGTAAGGATAAATATGTCAAAAAGTATACGGAGGACAAATATAACCCTTTTGGAAGAGTACATGGGCAAATATGATACTAAAGTATAACGGTAAGAATAAATATATCAAAAAAGTACAACGAAGGACAAATATAACCCTTTTTGAAGAGTACAGAAAACCCTTTTCCGTTATATAATATATAGGATTACGACCTAAGTTATTGAGTTTTATAGATCCGTACTTCCCGTGCTAGCTCATCCCCTGCCGCCAACAATCACAATTGCAACTAATTATAGGGGTTATTAATTATGGGCAGAAGCATGACTATTTTGACTCGGCAGTTTTGACTTGAAAAGTATGAGGAAATATTGCTTCACGTGTCCCAAAGATTTCACTTTATTTCATTTTTAGACGTCTCAAATCGAAATAATTTAGGGTAATAACTTTGATAAATTTTAAATGTTCAGTTCATATAAGTGATATTATATTATATTTTCTCAAACTACGTTCTTAAAGACTATTTTAATTTTGTTCAAACAGTGCTAAATAGTAAAAACACAAGTCATATTAACGTCAAAATCTAATTACTCAAAAGAAATAATATTATATAACATGAAGCAGTGGTACGAACGAGAAAAATCACCAATTTAATGTTTAAACGCTTAACAGAAAATAAATATAGTGACAGGCTGTAGCGTTGTTGAATTAATAATAGTCCAACAAAGCATTTGACCCATAGATGAGTCGATCCTGCTGTATTTTCGTCTTTGTTCAGCAAGTTGCTTTCTTCTCTGTTTCTGAAATTAAATACTAGTATTTTTATTCTTTTTCCATTTAACATTTGCAATTATTAGAGATCAATTTTAGAGACGCAGCCGCACCCTTTATTATATTGCACTTCATATAAGTCATTTAAAGAAACATGTAGTAGTATATAGTTTCACAAATAAAAACATAACAATCTTTATTAATTATCAACAGTACTAGTGGAGGACTATATTCCTCCTTATTCCTTCACTGATACAGACTATATAAAATGAAATCACACCAATACTAAGTACTACATATAGTAAAGTATTTGTAATTCTAAATCTTATGAAATGTAACTTTCACAGGTTGATCAGAACGAACAAACAAAACCCTTTTGCTACCTTCAACAAGTATACCAATGTCTCCACAGAATGGTCTGCATGTCTCACAAACTCCAGGACAATACACAAGTTTGTAAGCATCCTCGTACCTATCAATGCTAAACCAATTGCTCAATGTTTCACGCCCTGGATTTCCTTCTACTCCACCAACTGTCACCAAATAACGCTGCGGAATTAATTCAGTGTTAATTCTCCATACTGTAGACGAATCAGAGATATGAATAGACGTAAATTTCACGTTCAGATCAGTTGATATTCCGATGATGTTTTCGTTTGGGTTCACAGGTGAAAATTGAAGGTAACCGCCGATTGAAGATTCATCGGCATGTTGGCTTACGACTAACGGGTTGGTTCGGTTCCTAATGGATGCCACCTGAAGTCCACCGCCGTTTCCCTGACCCGCCGGAAGGATATAATAATTTACTCCGGTCCGGACAGCATTACCGGAAACGTCGAGCACCGGTTCAGGAACATCTTGAGCTTTTACAAGGAAAAAAGAACTTGTTGATAATGCAACAAGAAGAAAAGGTACCATGAATCGTGTAACGTTAATAACTTCCATTGTTAAACGAACTTGTGAATGGATAAAATAAATTTAGCGAAGCAGCGCTATTTATAGAACTGGATAAAGGTTTCGTATTATATGGAGTAGTTTGAAAATTATCCGTCACTTCAAAGACTTTTTATTTTTTCAGATCGATGGAATTGACTATCAACTTTTCTAGCCGTTTAGTCTTTTATAAAGCCGTAGTTATAAATAGTTTATTATTTCTGAATAACCTATGTATGCCTTACATTTTACACATTAAACAGTGGGAAAAGCTTAGCCAAAGCAATAAGAGTATCCTCCTATAATCCAATTTGAACTTCTTGTACATATTTGAATTGTGCACTCAGCTTTAATTTTCAAATGTTGAACTATATTCATAAGTGGACGAAGTAAGAAACGTAAGCTTCTTGTACAAGTGTACTTGGGATTAAGGTGGAGCTAGAATATGAAGATTATCATTCTTTTAAGTTATTGAGTTTTAAATTAATAATTTATAATATTTTTAATGAATTTTTAAGATAAATTTAATGTTTAACAAAACTACTATCTCCGTTCAATTTATATGAACCTGTTTGGCTGAGCACGGAGTTTAAGAAAAAATAAAGACTTTTGAAATTTGTGGTCCTAAACAAGTCAAATAGGGGCCCGGAGTATTTGTGTGGTTATAAAAACTTCTCATTAAGGGTAGAATTGTAAGTTTAAGCTAAATTATTTTGAAATTTAGAAAAGGGTCATTTTTTTAGGAACGAACAAAAAAGAAATAAATTTACATAAACTGGAACGGAGGAAGTGAACTTGTTTAGAGATTAATGAAAGTTACAAATCTGTGACTTGAGTGAAGAAGATAACGCAGCAGATGAAGATAGAAGAAGAGAGAAATAGTGAGAGAGAGAGAAGAGTAGAGAGAGGAGATTAATCTTTCATTTATTCAACTTAACTTCAAATGATAATGTACACCCATATATATAACACCTAGATAGCTTAGTCTTGAGTAAGCCTAATTAACAAACTAACTATTCTGTTAACAGTGTAATAACCGACTAAACTAACTAACAGGGTGATTTTACATAACTGCCCTTATGAGCTTGGAATTATATTTCCTTTAATACTCCCCCTCAAGCTAGAGGGCATAAACACATTAAATGTCCCTAGCTTGGAAATTAGATATTGATGTTGAACTTTGCTCAGTCCTTTTGTGAATATATCTGCAGGTTGTTCCTTTGTAAATATGTACTCAGTTTTGACCATGCCTTGTTGAATTTTCTCCCTTATAAAGTGACAGTCTATTTCTATGTGTTTTGTTCTTTCATGATAGACTGGGTTGGCTGCTATTTGAATTGCAGCTTTACTATCACAAAAATAGTAACTGGTTGATCATTTTTCACATCAATTTCTTTTAGTAACCCCAGTAACCATGTTAATTCAGCAACAGTAGATGCTAGACTCCTGTATTCTGCTTTAGCAGAACTTTTTGAGATTGTAGTCTGTTTCTTAGACTTCCATGAAATCAGGGATTCTCCTAGCTTGATTAAGTAGCCTGTAACTGATTTTCTGGAGTGTGAGCAGGCTGCCCAATCAGCATCACAATATGCTGTGATTGTCTCATTGTTATTGCTAGACAGAAGGATACCTTGTCCTGGTTGACTCTTGATGTATTTCACAATTCGTAGTGCAGCTTCCATATGAGATTTTTTGGCTGTTGTAGATACTGACTTAGAGTTTGAACACTATAGGAGATGTCAGGTCTAGTAACACTTAAGTATAACAGTTTACCTATGAGTCTTTGGTAGCTGCCTTGGTCTGTTAGCACATCATCTTCTGTTAGTTTGTCTTGACAGAAATGTTCATCAAACTCTTTTGTAGTGGGTTTTATGTTTGTGTCCATAGGTGTGCTGACAGGTTTGGATGCTGCTAGTCCAAGCTCATATATTAGTTCCAAAGAGTACTTCCTTTGATGCATTAGAATTCCTTGCTTTGACCTTGCAAATTCTATTCCAAGAAAGTACTTTAGTTCCCCTAGATCCTTCATTTCGAAAGTCTGTTGAAGAGCTTCTTTTGTATCTTGTATCAATTTTAGATTGTCTCCAGCTAGAACCATATCATCTACATATACTAACACAATAATAGTTCCATTTTCAGTTTTCTTGACAAACAATGAGTGATCATAAGGGCTTTGTTTGAACTGAAACTTCAATAAGGCTTCTGTCAACTTTGAGTTCCACTGCCTTGGTGCTTGTTTAAGTCCATACAAGGATTTTTTGAGTCTGCACACAGGTTTATACTCCCCCTGACTCTTAAATCCTTGTGGAAGATCCATATATATCTCATCATGAAGATCACCTTGCAAGAATGCATTGTAGACATCCATCTGATGCGCATGCCATTTTCTAGAGGCTGCAATTGCTAACACAGTTCTAACTGTTACCATTTTAACAACTGGAGAGAAAGTTTCTTGATAATCTATACCTTCTCTTTGACTGTAGCCTTTAGCTACAAGTCTAGCTTTGAATCTCTCTATCTCTCCTATAGCCTTGTATTTGATTTTGTATATCCACTTGCATCCTATAGCAATTTTTCCTTCTGGTAAAGATACAACTTCCCAGGTGTTGTTGTTTTCAAGAGCTTCAATCTCTGATTTCATTGCATCTACCCATCTAGGATCTCCAACTGCCTCTGCATAGGAGTTTGGTTCAGTTGTTGTGGAAAATGTGGATAGGTAGGCTTGATACTTTGGTGAGATGTTTTCATAAGAAAGATAGTTTGATATTAGATAGTTCACATCATGATGCACATTTAAGGAAACAAAGTCCTTCATCCATATTGGAGGATGTTTCTCCCTGCCAGATCTTCTAGTAGTGTTGTTTTGTTGATTCTACTGAATATTTGTTGAAGCAGTAGGGAGAATGATTTTTGACCGATCCTGTTGTTGATTTGTAGTGGCAGATTCTGTGACAGCTTGTGAGATTGAGTTAGGAATCTCTTCTGCACTTGTATCTATGTAGTCCGCTTCATAGTCATGAGTGTTTGTAGGTTGAGGAAAACCAACAGGTTGCTGAGTGTAACCCTCAGGTTGTATATTGTCTAAGATAGGTTGAGATACAAATATAGGAGATGAAGATGTAGTAACATTCCCGAATGGAAATACATCTTCCCTGAAAATAACATCTCTGCTTACAAAGAAGGAATTAGTAGTTAAATCATATAAGACATAACCTTTTTGCACCTCTGAATATCCCATTAATATTGCAGATTTAGCTCTTGGTTTCAGTTGGTCTGATTCTATAATTTTGGCATAGCAAAGGCACCCTATAACTCTTAAATGGATCAGAGAAGGTTTCCTTTTGTATAATTTTTTAAATGGTGAAACTCCTATAACTGATGAAGGAAGTCTGTTAATTATGTATACAACAGCTAGAACACAATGACCCCAAAATTTCATAGGTATATTGGCTTGAAATCTGATAGCTCTAGTTACTTCTAGTATGTGTCTATGTTTTCTCTCAGCTACTCCATTTTGCTGAGGAATATAAGCACAAGTTCTCTGATGAATAATGCCTAATTTCTTAAAGAGATTACTACAAATAGTATTAACAAATTCTGTTCCATCGTCTGTTCTTATTGTTTAATTGTCTTATTAAACTGTGTTTGAACAAAATTTAGAAAATACTGAATAATAACACACACATCAGACTTCAATTTTAACAAATAAATCCATGTCATTCTAGAGTAGTCATCAACTATAGTCAAGAAAAATTTATTTCCATCAAATGTAGGAACCTTATAAGGCCCCCAAATATCCATATGCACTAGTTCAAAGCACTCAGTACTTTTAATACAACTTGCTGGGAAAGGTAATCTGGTTTGTTTTGCACAAGGACATACATTGCACTTATTTAATACTTCTACTATAGACTCAGTTTTATTTTGAACCATTTTCCTAAGAACAGATAATGACACATGACCAAATCTTTTATGCCATAGATTTATGTCTTCTGCACTAAGCACTTCCTTTACAAGGAGGCTGAAATTCATATTTTTCTTAGCAAGTTGACTCAGTAGAATGTATAAGCCATCTCTTTCTTTACCAATCTCCTTCACCCTCCCATTGAAGAGATCCTGAAAAATACAAAAATGAGGGTAGAAGGTTGCAGCACAAGCTAGTTCCTTAGTCATTTTTGACACAGACATTAGATTAAATTTGAACTGAGGTAAATGGAAAATATTGCTAAGTGTACTTCTAGCAGATATTGAACTAGTTCCAGTATGTGTAACATTTGAAATTTCACCATTAGGAAGACACACTCTCTTAGGATTAGTATTTTCAACTATAGATTCCTGATTTAACATGTTAATATCAGACACCATATAATTAATTGCACCAATATCAATAATCCATGCTTTTGGACAATTTGAAACTAATAAAGCTGTACTCATACCTGCTACATTTGCTGAAGAATTATTGTTGTTGCCTTCTAGGTTAGTTTTGTTTAGGATTTGTAATATCTGCTCATATTGGTCTTTTGTGAATGCTCCTATCTGAGGCAGTGAATTATCAATGATTTGACCATTTATCATCTGAGATGCCTGCTGATAACTCACATTAGGCTGGTGTTGAGGAATTTTTGCTAGAGCATTATAAGCTGCTGGACCTGCTCTTGTTCCATTGTTATATGATCCTGGCCCTTTCCTTTTAGATTTAAAATCTGGAGGATAGCCAACTATCTTGAAAGAATTTTCTTTACTATGACCTCTAATTTTGCAGAAATCACACTGAATATTATAATTCTTTTTATATCTTTGATTTCCCATATTTTTTGTATACATCGCAACATCATAATTCTCAGTAGTAATTGCTGGATTTGCACCTAAAATTCTAGAAGTAGCAGCCACTGCCTTTTGACTTTCATCACTTATAACCATTGAGTATGCTTGATTTACTGTTGGTAGAGGTCGTCTCATAAGAATTTGACTTCTTGCTTGAGAGTAAGACTCGTTGAGACCCATAAGAAATTGATATACCTTTAGTTTTTGTAGATAAACTACAAATTCCCTAGACCTTGGACAATCTCAACCAGGGACTGGAATTAATGCCTCAAACTCCTCCCACATGTCCTTCAGTTTTGAATAATACACAGATACAGATGAAGTGCCTTGAGTAAGAGTGGCAATTTCTTTGTGCAAGTTAAAAGTTCTTGCATCATCTGCTTTATAGAATCGTTCATATAGATCATCCCAGACTGTCTGAGCATTAGATGCATACATTATACCACCAAGAAGACTACTATGCACAGAATTCATGATCCAAGAAAGTACAATAGCATTTACTCTCTCCCAATGGTTCCACATAGTAGCAGGAAAACTTTCTTTCCTACAAGATCCATCCACCAATCCTAATTTGTTCCTTCCTAGCAATGCTACTCGCATAGAACGATACCAAACAGAGTAATTTTCAATTCCAGTCAGCTGGAATAGAATAATTTGTATTCCGCTGACATCTGAAGGGTGAAGAAACAAAGGATGATTATAATCAATACCTGTTTGTTGGGTTCCAGCTGTTTGATTTTGATGAGGATTGGTTTGATTCAGCTGAGCCCCATCTGCTTGCTCATTGTTTTTAGACTCATTTTTTAGTTCTTGAATTTTTCGATACAACCAAGAATTGACAGAATTTAATTGAACATGCAGAAATTTGAATCGAATCAAAGCTGTATATTCTTAGCTTTGACTGCTCTGATACCATGAACTTGTTTAGAGATTAATGAAAGTCACGAATCTGTGACTTGAGTGAAGAAGATAACACAGCAGATGAAGATAGAAGAAGAGAGAAATAGTGAGAGAGAGAGAAGAGTAGAGAGAGGAGATTAATCTTTCATTTATTCAACTTAACTTCAAATGATAATGTACACCCATATATATAACACCTAGATAGCTTAGTCTTGAGTAAGCCTAATTAACAAACTAACTATTCTGTTAACAGTGTAATAACCGACTAAACTGACTAACAGGGTGATTTTACATAACTGCCCTTATGAGCTTGGAATTATATTTCCTTTAACAGGAAGTAATAGGTTCAGCCAAATCCATAACGGACACCCTTGTTTGGCAATAATAGCCAACTTTATGTTGATTGCATGAGTAGAAAGGTCAACAACAAGCTAGGTGATAGCAACAAAAGTAGCATGAGTACAAATTTTCCTTGTGACACAACACATAAAATTAATTCGTAATATAGAATTGCATATATATGAAGGTTTGAATATTCTCCTGATTTGCAAGATAAGATTTTCACTTATGATATCATTTGAATCTTCTACTAGTTTGAAATTTAGCATTCTCTACGATGATTTTTTCTTCCAGATAATATCGATTATCAATTTCCTGCAGCCATTTGATCCTGTTTAAACTGCACTACTCCATCCGTTTCAATTTATCTTAATGGAGTATAAGAATCAAAGAAAAAATCTTTCAAAATTTATAATGTCAAACATGTCATAATACGTGTATCCATAAGACTTTAAAACTACAGTTATTAAATAAATCATAACATTTGTGTGGTTATAAAAATTTTTAATTAATAAAAACATAAAAAGTTTAAATTAAACTATTTCGCAATTCAAACGTTTTACCATTCACAGTTCACAGATTGATGAAGGTAGTAAGAGACGGATATGCTTGTATACATAGAGACGTAATCGGGATAGGATCTCTTGACAAATCAATTAGGCAGCCTAGTGAATTACTGTGTAAAAGAAGTGCATGCTCAAACACAATACATCTATTGATCTAATAGAAAATAGAAATATCCGGTGCGAATAAATATTTATTGCTACTTTAATCTGCTTAATAGAATGATCAAGTACAGCTCTACAACCTGGGTGCTAGCAACAAAGTGGCAAGATAAAACTTTTCCCCGTTTCTGACATAGTAAAAGTTAAAGCGAGCACGACAAAAATACACGAGGAGTTTTTCTATACCAAGGGCTCGTTTGGTACGAGAGATAATGGATAATTAATCTCGAGATTAAATTTGAGATGAGTTTATCCCATCCCACATTTGGTTGGAATAAATCGTGGTATAATTAATCCCGGGATTGTAGTATTTTTCTATCCCCTTGGAGAGTGAGATAACTAACTACGGGATAACTAATCCCGGAATAATTAATCATGGGATAATTTGTTATCCCAACCATACGACCCGTAAGTACCTTGTTTAGCAGATCGGTGTAAGGAGGTGCTTATTTTTCAAATAATAAAAAAACTTATTTTAAGAGTTATGGTGCTCGACCAATCCTTTGAAAAATAAGTATTTTATATTAAAAGCAAAAGCTTTGTTTTTCCATTGTAGGGAATAGCTGGAAAAATTATGAAAGTATCTGTAGGAATGACAGCTGGACAAGTTAGTGGAGGCAGTCATCCAGCTGTCACTAGTTAGTTAGAGTGGTTGAGGTGATTAGCACTAATTAGCTGAGGGATTAAGTTAGCGGAATATATAAATATATATATATATATATATATATATATATATATATATATATATATATATATATATAT